AGATTCATAAGTCAACACTACTACTCGAATTTAAACCAGGACCTCATGATAATATGTCATAGGTAATGAATCAATCAAGGAAAAATTCAAGCGTAGGCAAGTCTAAGACGCTGCCCTGCATACGTTGACGGGCTGGGGGCGGCGGAGCCGCAGCCAGATTGAAGGCTCCTGGCGGCATTGCAGGTGCTACCTGAAACGGCACCATCTGACCAATGGAAGGAGGGGGTAGTGGCGGCGGATGCCCAGCCATGGACCCTACTGCTAGTACCCAAATGAGCGCGAACAACTCCTCAGCTTCAAAGCCAGAGTCCTGCAGCCTGAAAATATGAATTGAATCAGTGGACCTGTCAATAACTTACTTCTTGACTTGACTTGACCACACGTCTGACATGAATGAATCAATCAATGACAACAAAAAGACACTTCTGCATATGGATGCAGCGCATGCTTAAGTCACGATTTGTAACGTTAGCTAGCGGATTGAAACAACGTTTCTGCAAAAGCCAATGCCTGCAGTTGTCAGCAGTAGTCATTGGGACTGAATTGAAGTATGAATTGACAAGACCTGGATTGCATCAGTCACTGACTCTCATGATCACCAGCATGATCAATTCGGACACAGGCCAGAACCGTCAGCAGCCACATGCCAAAAGCACTGACATGGTAAGCATTTCCAGCATACTTGCTTCCTCGCTGCACATCAGGAAACTCGAAGGGCACCAAGCCTACTGCACTACAAAGCTCAGGATACACTGGCCAACCCAGTATTGATAGACGTTCTCGGGGAGTAATGATGGTTTCTGATTGAGCATGCCATAGTATGCCCATTGAGCGCCGAAATGATGGAAATCGTCCTGAAGCAGTCCAACAAACTCTTGATGCTGGGTTGTCTCCGAGATGAAACACTGCGTTTGGATCATGTTTTGCCGGCCATCCAAACTTGCTTCGCCACATCTGCTCGTACTGCTGCAACCGGTCTTTCTCTGACTCCAGAAGGAGGTAGCGGAAAGAATTGTAGCATGTCACGCGGTGCTCGGGCTTAGGCCGCATGCGACGAGCCTCAATTTTTGACTAATTTAAAAATTTGTGCTGCTGAACTGTTATATATACTATACATACTAATAACATATTAAAATTATTCAAAAATCAAAGCAAGCTGAAACAATCCGAAAGACTGCAGCCAGATGCAACTCACATTGTCTGAGCTCTGAGGGAGTAGCCAGGAGGCAGTCAGAAACGTCAAGATGAGGCGCCTGGCCACATCTGGATGTCTTCAGCTGCCAACTCACCCGATCAATGGCATAGTGAAGATCCACTGTGACGCTGACGTGTCCTGAAATCCAAGGACGATAAACTGAAGCGAACCGCTCACTGACTTTAATTTGAACCATAATTTAATCGCAGGTTCAAAATCCAACCAATTAATAGTGTAGAAGGTTTTGACAGCCCGGCCTCGAAGCAGCAAACAAATGAATACCCTCATTCTTGAAATGTGTTCGCAGGCAGCGTCTGATGGCTCAATATAGAAAACCTTCATAGTGTATAGATCTCCCATGAGGGATTCCAGAATGCTGGTGTCAAATTCTGGAACATTTTCCAAAAAGACCAGTTTGGTCCGCCTTTGCCGGTGCCAGGCCAACAATCCCACTAGCAGAATAAATGTTGACCCGAAAACACCTTGTTGGGTACCAGCTGGAGACCAGTCAATGCATGGAAATCCGCTCACGTCTATCTCGCACGCTTGGAATAGGCAACAGCGCTGATGGCGGTGGCACCACAAGGTTGGATCCACTTGTGTCATCATGATGCTTTGGGTCTTTCCCAGCAGAGATTGCTCACGCAGCGCCGGCAGCTGACTTGCAATCAGGGGCATATGCTGCAGAACATTGGTCCCAACGTGTTCGTCAGAATCCTCTGGGCCACAGATTGCGGTGAGGACGTCCTGGCATCCTCGGTCGCAATCCTTAGTTAGTCAAACAGTCATTGACTCAATTTGGAGTTCCTGGAGTCAATGATTGATAGTATTATTGTTACAATGTGACAATGTCTGTCATGTGAGGCTGTGCCACAGTGGTCTGTCAAACTGCCAGGTCTCAAATCAAATTTGTCTATGGGACAAGTACTACCCAACCGTTTGGTCCAGAAATTGAAATGAATGAATGCAAGGTTCCACAGAGAAGTGCTGCTTCAAGCCACTTTGTAACTCCAAATCTAAGCCACACTTGTGTATCGCAGCTGGGAGAAACCCTTGTAGAATGAGTTTCTCAGGGCCAATGCCCGAGAAATGTGAAGACACGCGGCTTCTGGACATCAATGCAGAATCCTGTCAGGATGATGTCCAAGTTAAACTTGGACACATTATTATTTGGTCCAACACAGGCAACTTTAAACAATATCCACATTCAATGACAACATGTTATTCTGAGACACTGATGCCTGGATTTGTTGAAGTCCCAGCATTTCCACCAACGTTGCGAGGGTAAAAGTCGCCCATTCAAAAGTAGCTGCAAATGCGCCGCTGTTTCCACCACGACCAGGACGATGCTGGTAGTCCATTGGCAATGGGCGAAAAACCACCGGCAGACAGAAGTCTAGTAAAAGTTCATGCAATGAAATGTGCACACTGCTGCTAGCATGCGCTGTTGTTAAAATATGCAGAACTGAACCGACTGAAATCACCTTTCGGCTGGCGGCGTGAGCAATTAATAAAAGGTCCCAAGTTCAAGACACTCAGTCCCCGTCCCATCTCCCGCCTGTGGGAAGGCCATTACAGCTAGCCGCTTGGAGAGGCTCACAATGGTTACCACGTCTGCTTTCAGATTCCCGGCAATTCCAGCATCCCAAAGAACCTCCAGGCCCGGGTCAGGACGACTGGTGATAAGCCACTGGATTTATCAAACAATAATATGTATTGTATTTAATACCTCACCAAACATCACCAAACAGTATATAAAAAAGAGAAACCAATAATTCATGTTTTAAAAGTGCATCCAGCCTGAACTCCATTCCATTCTTCTGAGTTGAGCTCACGAATTCCCAATGTCTTGTATGCACTGCAATAGGCCTTGAGATGGTCCCAGGTCAGACTATTAGAGTGAGTCAGACTATTAAGTTATTCATATAAATAATACTTTATTTACTATTAATTACTATTAGGTTGCACTACTGATTCATTGATTGATTGTCTTCTCAACCCGCCTTGTAAAATTGTTCGGCGTTGCTTGCATCATGCTGGACTGCTTCTTGAACAGATTGGAACTCCCCCTCAGGGTGTCTTTTGAGACCATTAAAAAAGAGTAACTGTCAACAAAACGCCAGTGTTGCATCTACTATTGTAAAAATTAGTTCCACTTCATGGCCTCATCGACTTTCTGGTGAACCCAATCAAAGTAGCCACTTGCAGCAAGGTCCCGCGTCCTCAACCCACTCATCCAATCTCCTGCGTCTTGCATTGGTGGCGAAGTTGACAAAGATTCTGCCAAAGTGCTCATGATGTGCAGCAATGCAGAGCGTGCACTGCGAGCTAGCACCCCACCACCCTCATTAAAGTGAAGAAGCAGCACTGCAATCAGCTCGCCAGGAGTGCAAAGCGATACCTCAGTCCCCAGGGTGATTCCAGTCCAGTGCAGTGCAGTAACTGAAATTTTAAACAATTGTTACAATCAAACATTCAAAAGTTCCAAAGAATAAAAAGTACTTGATGGTTGCCTGGTGTACAGGATTCTGTAGAAGGGGTTCTGCTACTGGCAGGATCACACGTTGTGCTATCACGTCCTTCCACCAGTCACAAACAGCCCTGCCGGTATTTGCGCAAATACCCAGTAGCGCCTGCTTGGCTTGCGACATCTTGCCATGTACAATTGGAAGAGCACAGTTGTCCAAAGGTAGTGCAATTGTGATGTCCGGCCTTTTTGCAATGACTCGATCAACGAGGTCACGCACAGCAAGCACAGCCTTATACTTTCTCTCAACGATTGAAGAAACAGATGTTGTAGTCTCTTCAAAAAGCACGCTGGATACCATGAAGCTCAAGAGAAATGGCAAGGTTACGTGAGCGGTTTTCAAATATTGCTTGTCGTTCTCACCAACGTATACATCCCACTTTGCCCCTTGGCGTTGGCCATCTGGACCATGGTTCACCGATGGAAGCGGTGTACGAGTCCCAAAGAAAGTGTAGAATGTGTCCTGGAACGACTTCTCTTTGCTTGCCATGATGTTGTCTATTCTCCTGGGCTGCTGAATGTCAGTGGAACCAGGTAACCAATTAATTAATCTATTGAGCACGCTTTAAACTAATACTCTTTAGTTTCCCAAAAATAGACCCGACTCTGAAACTCAAAGCAAAATTGTTTACAGTCAACAGCCCAAGATCCGGTTTTTTGGATACAGGGCTTCCTTGAATGGCTTCACATCTATAAAGAGGACCTTGCGGTCGTTGAAGTCGGCAGGGATGAATGCCGATATCTCTGGGCATTGGCCAGAAGCAGGCCAAATGACTCTCCGATTAGTCGCAGAAGCGTCCATGGACCAACACACACACAGAACGGTTGATTCATTCCCATGTTTGAGTCCAAAGTCCTAAGTGCCCAAGTGTTTTTTCTAACATCTGACCACCTTTTGCCTTTCTGAAACTGCAACATTACATGGCAGCTTTGCTGTATGACACGGTGGCTTTCAACTCAACTCCGCTCACTTTAGGAGCCATTGTGTTCCTTGGGCCTGCGGTGAAATCTAAAGTAAAAAAGGCAAACCCACTGCACATATTGACCTCAAAAACCGCATTTTGCTACCCTACTTTCAGGATACCTGAAAGTTCCGTTGATTTGTTCGTGACAGAAGGTCCAACTATAAGTATAGACGAGTGTAACGAAAGTGATTCCCAACAAACAACCCCTTTAGATATTAATTAGGCACCTTTTTCCTTTGCATCGGCCCCCCATGGCTGTCCGACTGGCTGTCCGCCCCTGTCAGCTCGCCACTTCGCACAACAACCGCCTGGCCTTGACAGGGCATTGCATCCTTCCGATGTGCGGGAGCGGGAGAAGCGCGAGATACCTGCATCGACCGGAGATCGCGCGCGCCGTATGTTTGGAGAACGCACCGGAGATCGTGCGGCGGAAGGTGTTTCTCAATAAGCAGTCAACCATCTTAGTAGCCAATACGTTACTAACCGAAGGTAAAGACATCTCCACTTACAAGTTTACAAGAGATAATAGATGTAGCCATAGCAGTCAACCATTGGTGTAAGTTGCGAAGGTAAAGAACTCCCCACTTCCGCAAGCTGATGACCCATCACGCATGTTCCACTTCGCATCGCTCTTCTCGGGTCCGGACAGCGGCGCAAAGGTAACAAGCTCGCACCTCCCAAACAGATCGAGTGACCGGGGCGGCACAACAAGTGGGTGCTGGACCACAACTAGTCAGTGACCTGGAAAACAAACATCTCACCCAACAAAAGCCAAGTACCAAATGCCCTCAAAGTTCCAAAACACTAAACTGATCTAAACGGTAGGAACTTGGCAAAAAGGCCATTGACATGATCTTGGTGGAAGTCCGAGAAACAGCACGACCAGCGTTTCAACCAAATGCCTCAGCATTTCAACGAAACACAAACAAAACTCTCGCACCCAACCCTAAACGAACAGGCTGATCACACAAAATAGACTTACAAAAAGGACATTGAAAACTAGATTTAGCACTTTGGAGCTGACAAGGATGGCCAGCTGAGTATAGCGCGACTTGCGAATAGAACCTGATAAGTAGAGGACAATGGTGGCAGTAGAATGTGTTATGAAAGTATGTCTCCACTGGAATATTACCATGGAACCTCAAAAACACCGTTTTGTGGAGAAAGCTAGTCTTCAAATGTCCATGTTCCATTTCCCATGTGATTCTTCGGTGGAAGCTAGTTGATCGTCTCCCTGCACTGTTGATAGCGACAGCCCAGAAACCTCGCGAGAATCCTCGGATCTGAGCTTCGAACGGTCCTTCAGCTTGGCCCTCTCGACCGCGTCCTGGACCGCGAAGGACCGTGCGAACCAGGTCGGTGGGTCGAGTCGGCTGTTTCCGGTTGCGGATGTGGCTGGGCAAGCCCACCAACCGCTAGGGGTGGGAATGGGAGGGGAGTAGACCCAATGAATGATGCAAAATCCAAGACAAACCTGAAAATGGGTGGGGATATGAACTGTAACTGGTGTCATGTCCTCCCATGTAAATATCTCAAGTCACTATTGAACTTTGATTATCAACTCATTAGGCAACAATTCGGCTACCGACGACCCCCTCAATAACCACTATGTTCAACACCAACGTGGCCAAGTCAGATCGCAACGCTCGTTCTTGTGCCTATGTTAGCCCTGTCATGTGCCAAAATGGCAACCAACAAACATCAACCTCCTCCTAAACGGCAGATTGTGTTCGAAACACCCCTAAGACAGGAACTTGAGCGATGCCAAAGCCACCCAAGTCCTCCCATTCCATCAGCATCATCTCACAAAGACCACCAGGCCTCAAACAAAGTGGATATGGCTTTAATGACCCTTTCTGTCAACACGTGCCAAAAGTATCTATAAAACACACCAATGCCAACCCCCATGTGATAGGCTTCTGGGTGCCAGTGAACGGGATGTTGTTTGTATAAGCGGCAATTGCACAAGCATGTTGACAAATACAGCGCCTACTACAGCGTCTTGAACACAACAACTGCGGCATCTGGCATTCATTGCGCTGAGGATCAAACACTGGAAGGAACTCGCCCCTCTTTTGCCGGACAAAGAAGCATGGGACACCTGGCTGGAAAATCAAGAGTCACGGTCATCAGCTGGCAGCTAACGAATCTAGTGCCTTGGGGTGAATATTTGACAACCCCTCACTGCCCTGTTGTCCAGCATCGTTATGATTCAAGCTGTGCATGGATGCGTTTACAGTGGCAATCCAGCTGCTCATGCAGCACATGATGCACACCTGTCATGAGACTAGAGATTCAAACTCGGCCCGGCTTAGCAAACGAAACACTTATGTGAATAGTGTAGTGCATAGTCACACATCGACAAACTAGTATGTCAGTATGTTTCTTCACTAGGCTGGCAGTCTGCACACTCGTGCCTCTTCCACGTCTGGGGCCTTCTTTGCTAAGTGTGGTCTTCACCCGGTTAGGGCTGACCTTCGCAGTGAAGGCGTGCACATGCCCTACAGTAGCTGGGGTAGAACTCTTAAGATCTCCAATCCTGAAATACGAGTACTTTGAAGTTGCCCTATAGGTCCTCGAAGTTACGGCAAGTTACAATTGCAATCAATTGTTACAACTTTCTTCTGAAGTTCTCTGAAGAACATTTGACCCGATTGCATTGGCTAACACCGGTCCAAAAGGATGCCTTTTACATCGTTTTAGGGGGTGGTTTAGTCCTCTGGCAAAGGGAACATGATGGAACATGCGTTTGACCATGCCTGCGAGAGTGTCCAAACCAACTTTCCGTCTATCTTGGATCCTCTACTACACCTTTACACTGGGCCGAATGCCAAACGGTTGGCAGGGGACACCCCGTGGTCACCGGTGGGCTCTGCATCCCTCACCTTGCAGCGGCTCTCCTCCGGTCTGATCCGAACGCCTGGCGCGTCCGTAGACCATGAAGACCGCGAATCGCCCACCGGTGGGCGCCTTGATGCGCCACTGTTGCGAACTTCGAAGTATATAAGCGTGGCACTTGTTTCTAATAGCTTCTTGTTACTACTAGTAAGGCACCTGTTACTACTAGCGTGGCACCTGTGCCCACAAATTGGGAGGGTCGGTGAAGTAAACAGAATGTCCTGCCACCAAAGAGGCGCGCGCTCGCGCGCTGTCTGTGTGACGCCTCGTAGCCGCTTGCAGCCTTGAGTGGCGCTGGCATCCGAGACTATAGGGTTTCTCAAAGGATTGATAAACAAATGACTGTTAGTTAGTTGTCTTTTTTTGCTCAGCTGCCCCCTCCAATTTCCCTTGGCCATTCAAAAATCATCAAAGAGCCTCTTTTAACGCTGCCCATTCCAATGCCGGTCAAGTCCAAGAGTGTCCAGCAAAATGCGACCCCAGGTCCATACTTGTTTCTGTTCCTGGTGATGGGCCAAGATCGTCTTGATGAGACCTTCTGTGCCACCCGCTCGCACACTTTCTGCTGGCAATGCCAGGGCTTCCACCAGCTTGGCCAGGCCTGACAAAGCAGCCACCTGCAAACTCACCACGTCCACATGTCGCTGCATCGCTTCTTTCGTCAGGGAGACCACCCGAAGGTAGTCCACTTCACACTGCTTCTGGACCTCAATAGGCCACTCCAACACCGAGACCAGAAAGTTGATACAATGGGTTTGCAATTCGGCATCCCCATTGAAAGCTCTGAAAGCTGACTCCACATGTCTCACACCTTCTGCTCCAGCCACCACCTCTGGATGCACCGCCAAAGCTCTCAGTGCGGTCACTCCCTGAACTTGAATTTTTAAGCTTTCGGGATATAGGTCCATCAAAAGGGCCGTTGCTGTTGCAGCTTTCACGGACAGCAAAGTTACAACTGGTTTTCCACCATTCGATCCAACTAAGTCAACCAGGAGAGACAACCATCCAGCAGCCTCGGCCTCCGTGGCACTAGGCCGTGCTTCAAGGAAACACTGGGCTACCAGACTTGCATCGAGAAGCTCTTCTGCTAAGTTCGATTTCAAGATCTCAGGCAAAGAGCTCGACTTAGCACGAACGGACCTCCCCGAACTCTCAACGCCGTCAGCTCGGCCTCTCGCCTCGGCTTCAGCACGACAAATCCGTGTCAGGGCCTCACCACCGGCGGCAGCGACAATGCGGGCGACGGCCTCGTCCGCGATGGCGCAGACCTCGGAATGCGCATTGCACCGCGCAGCCATGAGAGCATCAAGCACATCGGACGGTCCGATGAAGGGCATGGAGCACAAGCGACGAGCCGTGTCTTCTGAGAAGGCCAAATGGCAAAGGCACTTCACACCACTCAGTTGCAAGGCAGGCTCCTCCGGATAGAGCTCGAGCAATCGCAGGAGCTGCGACAAGCAAGCTGGGCTCCGTGCTAATTCGTTCACATCATTGTAAGCCAGGGAGGACAAAGCTCTCAAAGCTTTGGTACTCTCACTGGGGACCGCCTCATAGTCCAACATGTGCTGCTGCACTTTCGGGAGACTGCAACGGTCGAAGGTGGCTGGAGGCCCAGGGGGCGGCCTTCGAAGGTCGTTGGCGTCCTGTTGCACGATCTGCCGGAGGATCTCCTCTTTGCTCTGCAAGTGAGTCGAGTATTTCTGCAAGTCACTGCCCCAAATCCCCAAGTACGAGCTCTCCTTCTTCAAGGCATCTTTCACCTCTACAAGCTCCGCATGGACGGCAGCCAGCCGTTTGCGAGCAGCCATGAGCACCAAACACAGCAAACTCCTTTTAAATGGAAGTACTTCCCTGGAAGACATAGTTGCAGCCATAGGTCTTGTTGGGAAAATGATGTTCCTTTGATAGGCGGGCAGTGCGAATCTGTGCTGGTTTGATTTTGTGATCCAACTCCGCGTAAAACCCGGATCTTGTGAGATCAAGACTTTGTGGGGCTTTGCTGCTGCCGCTGTGATATCAAATGGCTATATGATCTATATGTCTGTACAAAAGATATACGGGATGATAGGGGGATTGCCTCCATTTTGCTCGCCCCACAAGTACGGCTATGTCTGCTGAAGTGTCAAGAAACATCGGTTAAACATCGTGAAAGCCTGAACACATTACGAGGACGCATCTTTCAACCCTGCTTTTAGTCTTAAGACTCAAACCCAGGTCCCCAAAATCCGAAAACGGCGACTGAGTCTGCGCGTCAGCTGGGTAAGCCCCACAACGGCACCAAGCAGGGCTTGAACGTTGCCGAGTACCTGAAAGGCCAAGGTAATAATTAGTAACCTAGTACCATGGCAATGGCCTCCAACCTAATAGCGATGGCCTCCAATTATAGTAATGGAATACTGTATTTCAAGACCACATTCCTCAGAATGTCTTGACATGCTTTGACCTGCGCTTCCCCCGGCTTCAATAGCCACACGCTCTTCTGCCCCAAAAGCTCTCTCATCTTGCCAGCTGTGCTGGGTATTGCTTTCGGCTTCACCTTCATGCGCCGTCCACCACAGTGGGTCACTGGGCTCAAGTCGCAAGGTCAAGTCTTGGCAAAGGACCTGCGACACGGACCGAATCCACCGATGGATCTCTTGCCCGTCTGTCGACGGGAGGCGAGCTCGAGCCAAATCCATATAAAACGATTCCTGCAGGTATGACCAATGACTGACACATGGTATGACCAATGTGTTGAGGCTATTTGTAGGGAACCCTTTGTGAGACATATTTCAGACTCTTGTCATAGGCGACAAACCAGTGCCGGACCCGGAAGTGCCAAAGCTCAGCACGGCGCAAGCGCAAGGCCCTGGCACTTGTGAGCAGTGCCAAGTGCCAAGGCCATGTGTGCCAAACGACCATATAACCAAAGATTTGTGCACCCTGCTGTAGCACCCCCCTACAATTACCTAGTAATCAGTGTTCTATGATCCTGCGAGAGAAGGCTTTAACCAAGAAACATAACAAAGTGATGGCCTGCACATATCATCCCCAACAGTCAAGTTTCTGAGGGCGGCACCAAATCAACAAACCTAAGTCGATGACGAGAAGCAGCACTAGCAACCTGAGAGGGCAAGAGTTCGAGCTGGAGGAGATGTAGGGATGCCCATCAACTCAACAGTCAGGTTTTTTAGAGTTGATGTGCTAAACCCCCATTGAAATTAAAAACAATACATTTGAGGAAGTGTCTTTGCCAATCAACAATTCCACTCTATTGCTCTTAGATGCTGACGTGTAGAAAAAATAGCAGTCCAGGACCTGCATGAGTCTGAGATTTTGGCCGTTGTCTTGTAAATGCCCGTGTGTCATGATATTACTATAATATTGTACATGAATGCATATATACCCAATCTCACCACAACCCCCAAGTCGGTTCACATTTTACAACACCAGCGAAGCCAGCGTAACACCATCATGTGCAAACGTCACGCCCTCCGAAGAGATGTGCGCCTACGGCAGCCTACGTTGCTTTGCGATGGTCATTAGCCGATTCAGAAACTAACCGATCAGGCAACTACGATTCAGAAACCAAAACAGCCGATTCAGCAACTACGATTCAGAAACCAAAATGGCCGATTCAGCAACTACGATTCAGAAACCAAAACAGTCCGATTCAGAAACCAAAACGGCCGATTCAGAAACCAAAACGGCCGATTCAGAAACCAAACTGGCCGATTCGGAAACCAAACTGGCCGATTCAGAAACCAAAATCGTGCCGATTCAGAAACCAAAACAGCCGATTCAGAAACCAAAACGGCCGATTCAGAAACCAAGTCGGCCGATTCAGAAACCAAAACAGCCGATTCAGCAACTACGATTCAGAAACCAAAAGAGCCGATTCAGAAACCAAAAGAGCCGATTCAGAAACCAAAAGAGCCGATTCAGAAACCAAAACGGCCGATTCAGAAACCAAAACGGCCGA